GGGGGCCGGAGGTGGAAGGGGGGAGGGGGAGGGGAGGACGAGGGAGGACAGTGAGCCTTTCGTGGTGCTAAAACTGAAGAAAACTCTCTTTCGTACTCCCTCCTCCCCTTCTCAGGGGACTCACTTCCCTACTTTCGCCTCCCTCCTCAGGTTGTTGCTGCACCAGTAAGCCCACTTTCTTTCGCACCCTCCCCCCTTCCTCCCCCAGAAGGGCCCCCTGGATCTGCCTACGCTTGTAGCTGTTGACATTTGCTACTGCTCGGGCTACTTCTTGGTATTTCCGCATCTTATAGTGAGTGGATACCGGGAATTTTTGACTTCAATGCAGTTTTATTTCGTGGTGTACTTTGTTCTGAGGAACATGAGGAGAGGGAGGAGGGGGGGGGGGATGCTGCCCATGAGGTACTTGTTTTTGCTCCTTAGATGATTTTTTTGATTTTCTTAGCCGTATTTATTTAATCTCTTTCATTTTAACGCATTATTTAGTGTCCGCTTTCAAGCACTATTGGTTTGATTTTGGCATTCCCTTTTTGTGTAAATTTTGTGCCCGTTTTTGTCAAATTTTTTTTGGATTTTGGTAAAATTTTACAGCGTTCCTTCAAAAGTTTTGTCTTTCATGACTTGCTTATCATTTTTTGATCCGGTTTGAACAGTTTCAGCTGTTTCAGGGATTTAAAAAATATGTTGTTTGGGGGTGTACAGTTAATTTAATCGCCTTTTTTTTTTAAAGAAAGTGGAAATTTAAGTCAAGTTTATTAAGAACCCAAAGTTGTTTTGAGGATCTGGTATTAGTGATGTCACCATGACGCCTCCATCCTTACGGGGCAGCTGGATCAGATGCTTTAATTCTAGGCTACTTACCTTTGTTTGCTAATTTTCGGTGTATATGCGTCCTCGTAGTCCTCCGATTGTCGTTTTTTGCTTTCTGGGAATCAACGAGGCCGAGCAGTAAGTTCAGCCCATCGGTTGCAGTGTAGAATAATAAAGGAACTTTAAAGTTCTTTTTTGTCTAGGCATCTTCTTTATCACTATTTTTTTTTGGGGGGGCATTTTGTGTGGTACTTTTGTAAAAATAACCTAATCCATAACGCTGAATAAAATTTTTTCCATGTTTTGTGTGTTTTTTTGCCATTGTTTGTTTCTACAACTGAAGTATTTTCATGAACTTCTAATTACCGTAATTGCTGGGTTGCCCAGTATAAAACTTTTGACGATAATAAAAGCAATCTTTGGCTGAAGATAGACGTAACTGTCAACTTCTTCTAAGCAGATTTTTGCATGGTCATAACATACGGGTAATATTAAGGACTTAAATAGGGCAGGAATAGAACGAACTATGCATGTGTAGATGTAGAAATATAGCCGGTTTAGGGAAAATGAGTGAGTAAGAGTTAAGACGTTTCGGTCCATTAAGTCATATGCGTCGTAGGCCAACACTGACACTGGATCTCGTCAGTATGACGGTCGCGGTGTTCAGAGATGAGAGGAAAAAGGAAGGAATGGAAGGCAGGAAGAGAGAAAAAAAGGAAGATAGTAAAGAGATTTTTTAATTATATCAGATTTAGAGTAGTTGGAAAAGATTATAAAGTTGCAATATAAAGTGGAAATGTATGGAGAGGAGGAAGTAGCTATATGAACGGAACGTCAACAAAGCGACGTATGCGGGTATGTTGGGTGGTACAATTATTGTAGAAGAGCGTGTATCAAATGCC